AAAACTTGATCGATTCATACGGATAGATGCTATAAGGGATCGTGTAGACCACGTGCTTAATCTTGGCCACGATCTCATCTTCAGTCTTCCCAACGTTATCAAAGCGGCAGGAGTTCCTAGCTTGCCAAATCCAGTAGATAGAAGCACAAAGAGCAAGTCTGATCGCCTTTGATTTGAGGAGTGCACCACTGTGCTCCTTCTTTATCGACTTTATTGCACTTTGTAATGTGGACAGCTGCCTTGTGGTGCCAATCCCGTCCTTAATCCTATTCCAAATTCTGCAAACAAAAGGACAAACAAAGAAAATGTGTGGTGTTGTTTCCAAACCACCCTTGCAAAAGTCACACCGGTTTACCATATTAAGAAACGCTAGGTTATCTTGTGTTGGCAATCATATTCGATGTATGATTTTCTTAGCCACGTGTCAGAGAATGAAAAAGGGCTTCTATTTTGGAGGTGGCGGATCTTTGAGATTCATATATAAATCCGAATATTTGTAATAAGCTTTGATGGTCACGAAAGGTAATTGTTTTCCCACACATAATTTAAACACTCAAAAAGATGTACATAAAGAGAAATCAACGGTCAAGAACTAGATCTCAATCTTGGTGAAACTATTAAAATATGCCAATTTTTCTAGGGAGGGACTTGGTTTTATTACTTAGGTTTGGGTTGTTTCCTTGATGTTTCATCTTATTTCTGTATTGCTCTCGTTTTTTTTCTCTTATCTTCTAATGCTCTTTCATTAATAAAATTTCATTTTTATAATTATGAAATCTTCTGAGAAAAGAGCCTTTTCTCAGATTAATGTTAACTAAATAAATAATTATGAAAATAGAGTTGAGGATATAATAATTCTCAAAATATTGTTGATTGAAACTCTGGTTAGACAAAGTTGCCACATAAAGTGGCGACTTATGTGAAACATGAAGTTCGTGGAATGCAACGCAAAAGTATTCAAGTTAAACATGGGGCCCCATATTTTAAAAAAAATCTCTTTTTTCTTTTAATGGCTATAACTTTTTTTTGTTTCAATTTGTATAACAAATATATCAAAATTCATAATTTTATAAGATTTCATATGACATCAATATTGCATATGTAATTTAAAAAAAAACAATTGATCACAATGTGGTTATGTGGTGTCTAATCGAAATATAAAATTCAAATTCAATCTTCACAATAATTTTCTTTTTCACTGGACCAAGCGTAGGCTAAAAAATAAATCGAAATCTATAACTTTTGATATCTTTCATATGACACCAATATTATATATAATTAAAAAAAATTAAAGATCATATTATGTCCAATTGAAATACGAAGTATCGAAAATTCAAAATTCTATATTCAATCGAAATTGCTTTCTCACCGGACCAAGCTTAGGCTAAAAAATATACTCCGTCCGTCCCTTAAAACTTTTCCAAGTTTGACCGGCACAGAGATGAATAAAGTAAAAACTGTGTGGTAGAAGTTTGTGCAGAAGAGAGAGAATTAACTGGAACCACAAATTATTTACTCAAAAGGGAAAGTGGCAAAGTTAGTAGGACGTCCAAAAAAGAAAAGTTGGCAAAGTTTTAAGAGACGGAAGGATTATCAAAATTCATAACTTTTTATATTTATATGACACAAATATTGCATATATAATTAAAAAAAAACAAAGACCATATGATTTTGGTCTTTAAATTTTTATATTTTAATTGGATATCATATCATCTTCAGTTTTTTTATTAAAATATTATACGCAATATTGGTTTCAAATGACAGACTATAAAACTATGTACGTAGTATTTTGATATATTTTCGAGCCTTAGCTTGAGCTGATGAAAAGAAGTTTCGATTGGATATAAAATTTTGATACTTCATATTTCAATTGGACCTTTAGATCTCTTAGAATTTATAACTTTAATATATGCAATATTAGTGTCACATGAAAGATCATACAAAGTTATAAATTTTGATTTATATATTTTTTCTCTAAGCGCACTTAGTCCAGTGGAAAAGAAATTTCTTTTGAAGATGAAATTTTGAATTTTGATATTTCAATTGGACAACATATGGTGTTCAGATTTTTAAAAAAAAATATACATGAAATATTGGTGATTTTAAAAAGTAATGAATTTTAATATATTTTTTATACAAATGGTAACAAAAACAAAAAAGTTATAGCCGAGAGATTTTTTGTTAAATCTGGGGGCCCATTTTTAACTTGCACACTTGCTCCATTGCATTCCTCCGATTTGATTTTTACTTTTAAGTTGCCATTTCATGTGGCGGCTTTGTGCCTTGGTTAGACATAGGGGTAGACTCGGGTCCGGGCCGGGTCCGGGTCGGGCCTAGGCTCGGGCGGGCCGGCGGTTCAAGAATGGTGGACCCGGGACCGGTCCGGGTAGCCACCGGGTTCGGTCCGGGCCGGGCCTCCGGTTTGGAATTTTTTTTTGTTTTTTTGCTTTCCTAACCCCCCCCCCCCCTCACCCCCCACCCTCCCAAACCCCCCCCCCCCCAAACCCATCCTACCCATCAAGCCCAACCCGGGTGGAACCCCAAATATGAAAAAAAAAATCAATTTGGCCCGGGCCCGGGCCCGACCCGGCCGGGCCGGTTCACCAAAATTGAGGCCCGAGCCCGGACCCGCCCTACCCCCGGGCCTAGGCCCGACCCGGACCCGGACCCGAGAACCGGGCCGGTCCCGGTCCCGCACAGTAGCGGGCCGGGCCGGTCCACGGGCCGGGCTGGTCCACGGGCCGGGCCGGTCCACGGTCCACGGGCCGGGCCGGTCCACGGGCCGAGCCGGTCCACGGGCCGGGTGGCCCGACCCGAGTCCAAGCCTAGTTAGACACAAAGCAGTATTTTGGAAATTCATGAATTACAACATACTTAATGCAGCTAGGGGTGGACTCGGTCCGGGCCAACAGGCCCGGAACCGGACCGGCCCGCTACTGTGCGGGTCCGGACCGGCCCGGTGAACCGGTTGGTTGGCCGGTTCGGGCCACCCGGCCCGGTGGGATCTCAGTTCGGGCTCGGGCCCTTTAAAAGGTGAACCGGCCCAGCTGGTTCGGGCCCGGGCCGGGCCTTTTTTTGGAATTTTTTTTAAGTTTTTGGGTTGGGCTGGGTATTTTGGGCCATTTGAGGTGGTTAGGGTTGGTTTGGGGGTGAGGGGGAGGGTTGGGGGTTAACTAGGAAAAGCCCAAAAAAAAATATAACCGAGGCCCGGCCCGGACCCAGGGGTTACTCGGGCCGGTTCCGGGCCTCCCATACCTTGAACCGAGGCCCGACCGGTTCAAGGCCCGAACCGGGCCCGGCCCGAACCGAGTCCATCCCTAAATGCAGCCAATATAGGGATAGTGCTGAAGTTTACTCTTCTTATTTATCTCACATGGCTCATCTACTCAGCTTAGGGATGGACCCAACCGGTTCGGCCTGGCCTGCTACTGTGCGGGCCCGGACTGGCCCGCTACTGTGCGGGCCCAGACTGGCCCGCTACTGTGCGGGCCCGGATCGGCCTATTTGGTGCTAATCGGGCCCGAGCTTTTACCCGGTTCGGGCGGGTTGGCGGACTGGGCTCGGGCCATGTATTTCTTGAACCGGCTCGGACTTTTTTCCTTTTTTTTTTGTTTTTCTTGGTTAGGGCTGGGTGTTTTGGGGGGGTTTGGAGGTGGGGTGGGGGGGTCGGGGGTTAAATAGAAAGCAAAAAAATAGAACCGGACCCGACCCGGACCGGGCCCGAACCCGGTTTATACCCAGGCCGGTTCCGGTTCTCCCTTTCCCAAAAAAAAAAAGCCTACGGATCCACCCCTAACTCAGCTGGCATTGACATAGTTATGTGCACCTCTTCTACCCTGCGCACCTGCACTCCAGCCCCTTTATTTAGGAGCGGAACAGGATGTGATATACTCCCTCCGTCCCGAAAAGATTGGCCAAATTTCCTTTTGTGGATGTCCCAAAAAGATTTGCCATTTTCATTTAAAGTAAGGAATATGTGGCTAGAATTATTTCTCTCTCTTCTGCACAAATTTCAACCACACTGTTTTTACTTTATTAATCTACGTGAAAGACAACTTTGGCCAACCTTTTTACTTACGTAGTTTATAAAAAAGGAAACATTAAAAAAGCTACATGGACAGCCACCGGAAAACCCATTGTTTACCTGTTAAAACACTAAACTAACATTTTCCAAAGTTTGAGGGTTTGGTTTTCAAACAAATACTCCTTCCAGTTCCAAAAGATCTTGACACTTTGACTTCACAGTTTTTAAGGAAATAAACACTGTTTGGCACTGTTTGGCACTGTTTTGTGTAGATTTATTTGCCAAATAAGGCAAATAAGGAAGTGTAAAGATCTTTCTGATACGGTTAAAAATGGAAAGTGTAAAGATCTTTCAGAACCGGAGGGAGTACTATTTTAAGCCCAACCTGGACAAGTATTGAAATGGAGGGAGCATCACATATTGTAATAGTCAATAGTAGGGATGGACTCGGGTCTGGGCCGGGTCCAGGTCGGGCCGGGTCCAGGTCGGGCCGGGTCAGGCCTAGGCCCAGGAGGGCTGGCGGTTCAGAAGTGGTGGACCCGGGACCAGCCCGGGTAACCACCGGGTCCGAGCCGGGCCCATTATCAATTTTTTTTTCCTCTTCCTAATTAACCCCCCTCCCACCCCCAACCCACCCCCAAATGGCCCAAAATACCCAGCCCAACCCGAAAATTTATAAAAATTTGAAAAAAAAAATAGTTTTGGCCCGAACGGGTCGGGCCTTGTTTTGGGTGACCCGAGCCCGGACCGGAAACCCCACGGGCCGGGCCTACCCGGACTGGTCACTGACCGGGCCACCGGGTCGGGCCGGGCCGGAACAGTGCCGGTCCCGGGCCGGTTCCGGGTCGGGCCACCCGGCCCGAGTCCATCCATAGTCAATAGGGCATGACAAAAATGAGAAAAAATTCATGTTAATAAGGATAGGGCAAGAGGAAGTGTGGAGTTGAGTCGAAACATCATTGAGAAGGAAAATATCATTTGCACGAGTTCTTTTGTACACGCTCTCTACATTTTGACTTTGTACAGAGGCAATTTGTCAAAAACTGCAGAAATATTAGAAATTTTGTACAAACTGTCTATGTACACGGCCTAAATGTATGGGCGAGTATACAACGCGTGTACACATAGCTTTGCTGCATGGAGAAAGGCAAGACTAAAGATAGCAATTATTGAAGAATACAGTCATTTGATGAGAATGCAGTTTCAATTACATTTCAGCAATAAGTACCAATAGCCAAAATCTCCTGCATATTTGTGTAGCAGGATCAGAATCATGAGTAGCATGGAACAAGAAAACATAAAGAGAGAAACTAACCAGATACACTGAAAAAATTCGTTTAACAAGGCCATCATCATACAAGTGCAGTTCTTTTTAAAAGCTTACTGTCCAAATGTTTGGTGCAGCACTCATATGAGCAATTAAATCACACCCTTATCTTTCCAAGGCCATCATCATACATGTGCAAGTGACACTGTGACAGTTTAGACCTAGCAGGCAAGCTCCCTGTCATCTTCACTATCCTCACTATCCAATACAATCACTGCATGATCATATGTTGATGTTTCTATTTCCTTCAATACATTTTTTCCCACTTTGTCTTGTTCACATTGCATCTGGTCCAATTGATGGATACCGACACTTTCTTGCAAATGAACCATAGATTTCAAAGGCCGCCTTTGCTCATTCCCACCAGGCATATTGAGAATTTTCCCTGTACAAGACTTTCTAGCACAACCATAAGACTCACCAGCTTCTGACATTACACACAAGGCTGATGGTTTGAGATGCAAATTAGCCTTGGGATCAGCAAAGGTGTTAGAAGAAAGTAAGTGTTCTTTGTTATTTTGCAGACTAAGATGAGTTGAACAGGATGACCCCAAAGCGATTTTCCTACCAGACAAACCAAGGTGATGAATGGTGGTTCCAGGCTGTGGAAGATCAGATATTGTATGGAATTTTGTGCTTTTCTTTACTTTCAAATCACGATGTGCTAGTGACTGCTTGCGCTTCAAGCTTCTATAAATGCTTCTTCCCCTACCAAATTCAGCTTCAATCTGATTGTTAGAGTGAATTTCATTCACTCCCTCTGCAGTATTTCTCTTAGGCTTTGACCCTCCGGCTTCATTCTGATGGTCGAAGAGATAATTAGCAGGCATTTCAGTTGCTTCATTTGTATTAGAGTCTTTATAGTGCTCGGATCCTAAACAATCCAGAGATAACATTCTGCTAACTCCGCTAGATCTGTTTTGGCTTGGAAAGCACTGAAATAAGTTAGAGTTTGAAGCACCAGGTCCCTTATTGTCAACCTGCAGCTGGCAGATATAAAAATCAGAGCTAAAAACAGATTAAATTGGAACCAGGCAAGGAGTAAATTTTACTATTTCTGTGTGAGGATTTGTTTGAGTATGAAATTCTTGGCGAGGAACAGAAGCAGCAACTTGGCTTGCTTGATGCATAGCAAACTTTTCTGTCATGGATCTTGCTTTTTGATAAAAAGCTTGCATGTTATATTTGTACTCCTTACTCTGCATACCATCGGCATATCATTAAAGTAACAAAAAAAGAATAAAGGGAAAAGTAAAGAAAAGGTACTTGTGGTTGGGCCCGTTTTCAGATAGAGTCATGTGTTTCATTCTTTATTAAAGTAGTTCATGTGTTTGAATTTCGTTATCCCAAGAAGGTCACGCCGTTAAAAACGTCTGAAAAACACCGTTAAAAGTAACTCCGATTTTCAAATGTGTCCGAAAAATTAAAAGAAAAATACCGAAAGGTGCGACTCGTCAAGATGACCTCCAAACCAACTTCGCCTTTGAATTTTTTAGATCTGTTTGAATTATTTTTTAAAAATGATTTCGCTAATATCACTTTTTCGATGGACTTTCCGGTTACAAGGGTGGCTGAAAACAAAAAGGAAAAATGGCCTAGCGGTCGTCTTATTGGGGCGCACCTTCCGGTATTTTTCTTTTAATTTTTCGGACACTTTTGAAAATCGGTGTTACTTTTAACGGTCTTTTTAAGACATTTTTAACGGCGTGACTCTTGTGATAACAAAATTCAAACACATGAACCACTTTGATAAAAAATGAAACACATGACCCTGTCTGAAAAGGGCTCAATCATAAGTACCTTTTCCGTACTTTTCCCAAGAATAAAGCATTGATCATCCTTTTTATACGCAGGCAACTATGGTAAATTTCATACTTACAGCATCATGCATTAAGCCATCATCAGGGTTCGGTTCACTTAACAACAACCCAATGCTAGTCAATACAGTTGAAATGTTCAAAGATGGCTGCCACGCCCCCTACATGAAATGAAACCATCCATAAAGATCAAGAGATCGTCAGAGAGAATAAATCTAAAAAGCCCTAGCAAGTTTTACCCTAACTAAATTCATATTTAAAAAGAAAAAAAAGTAAATTGGAAAAAGGAAAACCTTTGGAGGAAGATAGAGAATATCCAGGCAAATGCGACCTCCATTGTCTATATTCGGATGATAAATTGGAGTGACGAAAGTTACAACAGGAGGGTGAAAAGGGTACCTGCAATGAATCGCACCGCAACATTCGCTCAAAACCATTCAAGTTGAACCCATTATAAGAATACCGAACCGAACAATAAAAAGCAAAATTAATAACTAGCAATGAACGCACAACATAAATCGACCAAACCCATGACTCGGTTGCTTGCCGCTTCCAGAAATATATTCATAAAATTACCTCTCCGGAACTTGGATTTTAAGCTTAAATAATCCGTTAGCATAAACAGTGCCGTCGGGGCCTTCGATTTCTGTAATTTTGAGACGAATTGTAAGAAACTATTGACAGTAGCTGAAATCATTATAAGACTTACCCGCGTCGATGGAGGAGAGGGAGGGAGGGGCGGAGGAGGAGAGAGAAGGAAAGGAGGCGCCGTGAGGTGGGTCTGAGAGGAGGAGCTTCAGCTCCTTTTGCATTCGCAGGATCAGCCTCGCCGCTTGTGCCATCGCTACGGTCCTTTTCTCCAATAACTGGGACGTCGCACAGCAGAAAACGAAGCCTCGATGGAGGTGGGAACTCTAAAGCGGGTTAAAACATAGCTTAGGCAATTTCCAACACTTTAATCATTTTTTTCACTAAAAAGGAATATATTCTATTTTTATTCTATCTCTAACAATTTACACTATTTTTATCACTAAAAATGAATATATTCTTTTTTTATTCTTTTCACTAACTTTTTACCATTATTATATTTAATTATCTAATTATCATTTATTTATACATTAGCCCCTCATTTAATATGTAGTTTGGCATTTCACTCATTATTTCACAAATACAAACTAAAATACTACTATAATCAATATTTCACGCATGCTTCATGCATTTCACTCATTAAAATACAATAATCAATATTTCACAAAAATAAACTAAAATCATATAAAATTAAATATTACAATAATATTATAATAACTTGTACGTCATTAATAAAATACTACTTAAACTTAAAGCAATAAATTAAATAAATATTCTTAGTTTAGTTATCGGATTTTGAGAATTGTTCCCACAAATATTGTGTGATTTAAATTTTATTACTCCCTCCGTCCCATAAAATTCTTCCCGCTTTCCATTTTGGACAGTCCCAAAAAATTCTTCCCACTTACCATTTTTGAACAATTTGTGTGGTTCACATTCATTTCGCCTTTTTCTTACATAACTACAACCACACATTTTCACTTTATTCCACTTTCTTAATCTCCGTGCCAAGTCAAAGTGGGAAGAATTTCCTGGGACGGAGGGAGTATATTTTTTTATTTTTTATCAAATTTATCAAAATTTATAATTTAAATTTTATTATATTGTATCAAATTTATAATATTGTGTGATTTAAACTTTATTATTCTCTATCAAATTTATAATTTAAATTTGTTGTTCTAAAAATGGGTCAAAACTATAACAATCAAAATTTTGGGTCACTTTTGAAATAAGAAAAAAAAAAGAAAATAAGAAGATGGTGCAAGGATGGTGATGCGCCATATATGGCGTAAAGCTAAAGCCCCTCCCCCATTTTGGTGAAATGGTGAAGCATTTGGTGTAGCTATTGGAGCAAAAAAATGGCAAATCCCCTATTTTGGTGGAGGATTTGGTGATTGTTGGAGACCTTAGGCCCCCTTTACTTACGATTTAATGAGCTTTATGGGAGTAATGACTTGATCGGTAAGGTATGTAGTTGTGTTTCCTTATGACTTACTTTGAAGGAAGATTTAATCGGTCAGAAATTCATGACTTTTTCATTCACCCCGAATTGTATACTTCTTACGATTCAGACATATCAACTTCCTTTAATAACCCTGGCTTCTTCCTCTTTAGCTTCTCCGAGATGTAGATATATCTTTCGCCCTCTTTAGCCTCTAAGCAAACTGGTGGCCTTCACCAACAGCACCAAACAAACTGGCGAGCTTCGACGACTGGAGCTTAGCAGCAAAGAAAGCTGTCATTCTATAAGGGTTTAATTGTATTTGTTTCATTTTATATTGTAGAGTTTCACCTTTTCTCAATCTAATTGCTCACTTTCTACGCAATCCAGTTTCGATTTTTGTTGTAAATTCAGTCAATTTATGTAATTTTCTTGTAAATTTCCTCAAAAGAAGACCGGAGTTTTTGAAGGGCTGAGGGAGTATACACATATAGTTTACCTGTCTACATGGCGTAAGCCAATTATACTTGAGGTTGACTATAATTTTTTGTGTAGATTGGAAATTGGCTAGAATTCCATCCCCATTTCAAATTCTTTGAATTAGTGATTATGTTTTGGAAATATAGTCCTATGGTAATAGGATAGAAGTTGATTGAGCACGATGTGGTGTTCAAAATCTTGAGCACATGATCAATTTTGGAGACGACATTGCTAATACATTAATAGAAAATGTTAAAATATAATATGTTGTAGTCAATTTTTTTTGAATTTTTATTACGGGGTATAAAGTAATTCAGTGTAATGATGTTTTGACATTTTTAAATTATCTTTGTTGATAAAAAAGTAAACAGATAATATATACTCGGCACTAGTTCAAATAGGAGGGTCATTTGATCATCTTACACCATTCAGAATACTCACTCAACACACATAGTAAACACTTTGTTATATATATCAGTGTCAGTTAATCCAGACAGATCTCTTAATCCAGATAGACGTCTTAATGCACTCAGAACTTAATGAAAAAAATGTAAACAACCCCTTACACAGTTACTCCATGACCTCCATCGCATATGGGTTGTTTTGTTTTAATTTGACCTAATAATAATAAGGGAAAAAATCAATTAAGTTCTCATACTAAAAAACACTCAATCAAACACTCCAACTTTAAAAAAAAAACCAAATCAACTTTTTAATAGGTTTGCAACCGGTCCATCGGTAATTGTATACACATATTGCTGGCGTGGATTTTTTTCATTTCTTTTCCTTTTCTTTTCTTTCTCTCTTTCTTTCTCTTTCCTTCTTTCTTCCAGGGGATTTTGTCATAAATATTACCCCCTCCGTCCCGATCATTTCTTCCAATTTTCCTTTTTGGGTCGTCCCAATTAATTCTTCCAACTTCCACTTTTGGAAAAAAGATGTGGTTCACATTCATTCACATTTTTCTTACACAACTACAACCATACATTTTCACTTTATTCTCACTACCTAAATTTGCGATATCGGTCAAAATTGGAAGAAATGACCGAGACGGATGGAGTACTAAAAAGGGGATGATTGACAAAAAGTGACCATTCTCACCTGAACTTTCTCCGATATATATATGGATAACATGAGAACATGATCTCAGAATAAAAATGATAATGATTTTGGAGCATCGGATTTTGGTATCATGCATTCATGCATCATATAAAACTAAAATTTGCATATAACAAATTGGAAATGTGAATTTCGATTGTGCAAAAGTTTAAACGCAAATGTGCACATTTGAATTTTACATTACTTTAACTAAAAATGTGCAATTTCATGAATCATGATGTGCATCGTTTTGAAATGTTTTCATTTCTCAAGTTAAGGAGTGTTCTCACCGGAACCATATCTTATATACTATCTATGTTCTTTAAAACTTTGTCAAAGTTGACCGCCACGAAAAATAATAAAGTAAAAACTGTGTGATTGAGATTTGTACAGGGGGATAACAAAAATCACAGATCAAAACCCCGAAACACTACGTGATGAGACGATATATATATATTACACTAAAAAAAAAATAAGAAAAGGGCCGGAGAGAGGATGAAATGCTTAGACGTGTGTTTGAAATTGGGTGGGTTTGAGATGCGGGGTGTCATCGAACAACGCCCCCATATCCTCCAGGCTCTTGCCTTTGGTTTCGGGCAACAGCAAGTAAAAGAAAAGCGCGGCCAGAAGCATGACCCCAGAAAGCACAAAAAACGTCCCTCCAAATGTGATCTTTCGTGAGATGCTCAGAAACGTGGCCGAAACCGCCCCGCTCACCAACCTGTTCACTGAAACTGCCAGGGCCGATCCTTGGGCCCTCAGCCTCAGCGGGAATATTTCCGCCGAGTATACCCATGTCACCGGCCCAAGCCCGATCGAGAAGAACGACACGTCCGCGCACACCGCCAACACGCACAGCGCAATGGCCCATACCGGCTTCTCATGGGACCGCAGCAGAAAGGTTGAGCCCAAACCAAGCCCGAGAAGGCACACCGCCTGCCCCACCGTGCCCAGCAACAACATAGGCCGCCTCCCGAAGTTGTCCAAGAAAAGCGCGGACACCAAAACAAACAAGGTTTTGGCCAGGCCCATCACGATCGTCACCCCTATTTGCCCCTTCCTGCTGCTGATTCCCGCCGATTGGAAGACCAGCGGCGTGTAGTAAACCACCGCGTCGTTGCCGGAGGCTTGCATGAAGAAGTTTATTCCGATGGCCGTAACGAGCATCCGGCGCACCGGAGGCGTCGGCCGGAGAAGCTCCTTCCAGGCCCCCCCACCACCCGCCTCCGCCGCCGCCGCCTTGGTTATTTCTTCCAGCCTCAGATCTGCTTCCTCTCCGCTTCCCGAAGTCCTGAGTAGAACCATCTTCGCTTCACTGAGCCTCCCTTTCATGACAAGCCACCGGGGAGACTCCGGCATCCGGATAACGGCGACGGCGATCCCGATTGCCGGAACGCCGGAGAGGCCTAGCATGAGCCTCCAGTTAATGCCGGCCGGGAGGCCTGCCAAAAGGATGTTGGAAACAAACCCGATGAGAATGCCAACGTTGATGAACACTTCCGGGAGAGAGGAGAGAAATCCCCGGGTCATGGCCGGCGACTGCTCGCTGGTGTAGACCGGAGCGATCGTGAGAGAGTAACCGACGCCGACGCCGGCGACAACCCTGCCGGCGAGAAGGTAAGGGTATGACGGGGCGAGTCCCATGAGGAGGGCTCCGATTACGAAAGTTGCAGCAGCCAGGACAATGGTGTAGCGTCTGCCTATCAAATCTGAAGTTTTTCCAGAAGCAAGAGATCCAACCAAAGAAGAAACGTTCAGCAAGCTCACTAGCAATTCATGCTCAACTGATGAAAGCTTGAATGTTTCTTTTATGAACAACACCGCGCCACTCATGACTCCCAGATCTGCAACAACAGAAAAATTGACAATGGCCCGCTTTAATTTCACGAATATATGTAAAGGGTGAAATCCAGTTCTCAGGAACTTTTACCATAACCCAAGAGAATAGAATTGGTGGAAGCCAAAACGGCACTGAGAAAAGCAAACTTGTTCAGGCGATGGGGTTGAGAAGGATGAGGGGAACCGGGTCCAGGTCGAGATTCAACCCGGCTGAATTCCATTGATCCTGCTCTCTCCTTGGCAGTCTTCAGTTCAGGATCCGTGTATGCTGAAATCGGGTTTGGATCCATTAAACCTGTGGGCAAATAACCACTACTAATAATAGCATAGCATCACTGAAGGGGAGGAGTAATGGAGCAGTACTCCAAGCCGTTTCGCATGTTATTACAGTAGATAAAAGACCCCCGCGGGCAACCACACGTATAAAAATAAGGTAGATTGTATGATAGGGTTAATGGCCAAAAATGACGATTTTCAATGAATCTCGTATTGGACACTCGGGTTTTTGACGGATCAAAAAAACAATTTTGAACTTATGCGCTAATTTTACCCCACCCCACTAACACTCCCGTTTGAAGCTCGTTAACTTTCCCCTTTCCCTGTGATTAAACAACAAAACCCCATTTGCAATCCTAAATGTGATTTTCATGGATTGTAAGCGCGAGGAGAAGATTACAAGCTTGCTGAAGTTTTACGTTTATTGATGGAGTCCGTTCAAACGCTGTAAGGTACTCCATTCGTGTAACTTTTACTGTAAAAAATGAGTGGGTTGGTCAATCTGAGGTTTAACCATAGCGGGAGGTGGTTGTCTAAGCCTTTACAGTACGTAAATGGGGACGTGGATACTATACATGGATTTGACCCAGATTACTTGTGTTATCATGACATTTTTCGGAAGTACAGGGATGATTTGGGTTTTAAAACCTTAAAAAATATTTATGTGTTATAACCTGGAAATGATATGGATAAAGGATTGTTCTTAGTTCAAGATGATGAAACAATAAGGTTGGTGTTAAATCGTATTAGAAGAATATCTTGGATTGATGATATTGAACTGTAAGCTGACCATGAACTTGATGAACCTCTTCTAGTTCCCCTGATAGAAGGGTGTAGGTGCTAGAAGACGAAACTGCTACTGAAATCGAGAACGGGTTGGGTTCTGATTCTGCTACTGATCATGTGAGAGATGGACCCACTGAAGTTTACACTGGTGGTGTCCCTAATGGATATCAAACAGATGAAGAATCAAATGTTGTGCAAGAGGAGGATGAGGAGAGCAACAAATCTGATGAATCCTCAGATGATGAAGCGGGAGAGAACTACTTTGTGAATGATGGATCAGGTTCTTTCATGAATGTAATGACGTTTGAAGATGTAAAAGAGGCTCGTACAACAATTGCTAACTATGGAGTGAAATTTGGATACAAGCTGAAAATCAAACCAAATGAAAAGAACCGGTTGGCAGTGAAATGTATGAATGAGGAAGGTTGTCCGTTTAGGTTGTGGATATCTAATGATGGGAAGAATTGTGATCTGGCCGTGAAGGTTTGCAATCCTGAACACAAGTGTTTTAGGCACTATTCCATTCCAAGTGCTAGCCAGAAGTAGCTAGCAAATTTTTTCTAACCTCACCTACACAAAAATCCTAGCTTCAGAGTTAAAGATATGAAAGAAGAGACTGAAAAGAAGTTAAAGATTAATGTCAACTTGTACAAATGTAAAAGAGCCAAAGGTTGATTATCCAAGAGATAGATGGGAGCTATAAGGCTGAGTTTGGGTATCTTGAAGCCTATGCTGCCACCTTAAAAAGAAGTAATCCTGGTACCAAAGCTGAAATAGAATTATGTACTGCTGCATTGAAGGAAGGAAACCGAGTGTTTAGAAGAATGTTCATATGTTTTGCTGCTTTGAAGTAGAACTGGTTGTCAGGTTGCAGAAGAATCATAGGCGTGGATGGTTGTTTTTAAAGAGTGTGTGTGAGGGGATGTTACGGGCTGCAGTGGGAGTTGATGGAGACGGCCAAATGGTTCCTATAGCATGGGCAGTGACTGACAAAGAAAACAAGTCCAATTGGAGGTGGTTTCTAACATGGCTTGTTCAAGAATTAGACTTGAAGAGCGGTGAAGATTTAACCTTGATTTCAGATATGCAAAAGGGCTTAATCAGTGCTATTCAGGAAGTCATATCAAATGCGGAACATAGGTTCTGTGCTCGCCACGTTTATGCAAATTGGTCCAAAAAAATGGAGAGGTGACCAATTTTGCAAAAAATTCTGGATATGTGCTTGGAGCACATTTGAAGAAGAGCTTCAAATGAACTTGAAAGGCTATGAAAATTAAGCAATGAAGCCGCTTCTGATGTCTTGAAATATCCAATTCAAACTTGGTGCCGAGCATACTTTAGTAGTCGAAGTAAATGTTGGATGGTTGATAATAACATCACAGAGTCCTTTAATGCGTGGATTCGAGAAGCCAGAGCAAAACCAATTGTGAGCATGCTAGAAGACATACGCTTGAAGGCAATGAAAAGAATTTCATATTTTAAGGTCATCCATGAGAAGTGGATAAATGATTGATCTCCCTCATGCATGGAGTACTTTCAATCAAACAAGGACGCTTCAACTAGCTGCAATATCATTTCAATGGTGAGATGGACTTTGAAATAGGTGAGGGTGAAGATAAACACACTGTTAAGTTAGATAAGATGATGTGCACTTGCAGAGCAGCGCATGAGAATTGACTGGCATACCATGCTTACATGCTATATGTGCTCTATTTTATAAGAAGGTGGATGCCATGACATATATTTCTAGGTGGTATCATAAAGAAACATATGTGGCAGCATATCAGCATCCTTTGCAGTCTGTTCCAGGAAAGGCCTTCATGAGAGTAGATGAATATCAAGCTATTTTACCTCCTCCAGTTCCAAACTTACCTGGTAGACCAAAGAAGAACAGAATTAGAGCCTCAAATGAGGTAAAGGTGTGGGAAGTGGTTCAAAAGCTACTGCTAGTACATGTCATAGAGCATCAAGAAAAGGGCAAGTCCAATGCTATGGGATATGTCATGTAGAGGGACATAAGAGAGCCAAATGTCCGAATAAAGATAAAGTTGTAAGTTATCATCACCTTTTTTTACTTTTAAGACTGATTTCGTAATTTCTAAAGAGTATATGTATGCATACTTAAGTGTTTGTTACTTCAGGCAACTACTGAAACAAGTGAAAGTTCTGCACCTCCTACTGGAAAGAGGCCTGCTTCAGTTGCATTTTCTCCAGGTCCTAACATTACAGAAATGGCACAAGGACCACTTCCAATGACAAATATTGTAAGGAGTAGTGGTAAGTCCAAGCTGCCATGTAAAAGAATTGGCAAGACAAAAGGTAAACAACCTATGAAAGGGTTTGGTTGCTATGTTAATGTTCAAACTGGTGAAAGCACTATAAATGTGAGTTCTGTGTACTGTTAATTCATGCTTGTTCTGAGTTATAAGAATGAAGTGTTGTATTCTAACTTCATATCCATTTACTCATGGTTTGTTGCAGCCTGGGATGGAGAGTGAACAACCTGTTTCTGAGATGCAGCATGAAGTGGCACATGATCCTGATGTTAATGTGAGGTTTGCTATTCCAAATGAGAGGTGATGGAGTATATGGCTCGGGAACCCCCGGTCCACAGACTCCTACTACTCCAATAAAGGTCCAATAGGCCCAGGAAGAACAACAGGCCCAAATCACAGCGCCCAGAGTACCAAGCGGCCCACAGTGCGCGCTAGGGGTGCCTTCGGCCCCCTGGCCGAAGGCTCCAATTCTCACAGGAGGGCCAAATCAGGAAAACAAAGTTACTGGGAGAAAACGGCGAAAATCAGTAGCCCTCGACACCTAGAGCCCTCGGCACTAAGGAGGTCCCAGGTGCTCAGAGCCCTCGGCTAATCATCTGCAGCCGAGGGCACCTTTTCCGACATGATATCCGCTCCACATGCGCATGGATCACCGTACCAAGTACGACGTCACATCCAACAGCCACATTAAATGCGGCCACATGCGATTGCCAGCGCCAACCAGTTGAGGTGACCCCTCGGCCAATGGATGCTTGACATGTGTCCCTGTCTGGCATTTATTGCTACTATAAATAGCACCTCATTTCCCCATTTGTAACCCAGAAGCAAATACACTTAATACATATCGAATATACACTCTCTCTCTTACTTACTCGCTCTGACTTCTCTCTAGTTATTCTCCACAATAACCCCTCGGATAAGCTACCCCCCGGGTACACTATCCATCATTTGGTGCTCTCGTTGAGAGGTCGAACAATCAAGTAAGAAACCCTCCCCCTCGACCAAACACAAAACACCTAGCTAAAATGGTGAGAACAACTCGTGCTTATATATTAGCAGTTGAATTAATTAAATCTAAATTAAAAATGATAAAGTAATGTGGTCCAATCAAATGAATGATAGGTACGGTACCCCATTTTTTTAGAAAGGTACCAGAGTTGTCACCTTTTAATTTTTGTATAAAAATACAAAATACAATCTTCATATATACTCCTAATATATAAACTATACCTACGTACTACTACTAATAATGTACAATGCTCCGTAATAGAGTTTTTACATGTTAAACCTAAAATACAAGATGTACGTATAACAATACACTTATACACAATATCTCCAAATAGTAGACAACTGAACTTGTGTTGTGTACAAGGAGAAGAAAGAGTCAACGTTCAGAAGCATGAGTTCTCAGGAGACTTCACCGAAGTGTTCGTTAACTACTTAACCTCCGTACGAAGCATAACAACTCTAAACCAATTGGATAAGCTCGAGGGAAACCCTAGGAGCCTTGAGAACTGTATAAATACCGGCCTCGACCTTCACTCTCATTCACACCTGAGCCGAGTTCAATACGGACATATACGTATTTATACACACACACACACACACAAAAATCTAACCTAGCGTTATACGAACTACCGAGCTTTGAAAACAACTCTAAATCATTGCCCTTCGTGAGGGGAGGCCAACGGAAGAAGAATCAATCAAAACGGTAGAGAAACGACGGAGAACAAGCTTGCCGGAGTTTCGCTAGACTGATCTTCACGTCGGAAACGGGAAGGAAGGAGTTGCCGCCGTTGCCTCTAGCCAGCTTTTGGACCGTCTCCGAACACTCTTCTTTGCTACTCATCCGCCGCCGCCGTAGGTAAGCTCCCTCCCTGCGTTTCTCTCGTATACGCGCATTTCCGTCGAAGAAGACGACACAGAGGTAGACTTCTGCGTTCAACTATTCTTTCAGCATATTGGGCTGAAAGTTTGGGCCGTCCTTCTATTTCAATAACTGGGCCTATTTTTAATGCTCAACCCAACTTTAATACTTGGCTGACAATAACAATAATAATAATAATAATAGTAATAATAATAATAATAATAATAATAATAATATAATTGATAAATTTGAGATGAGAATTATTAATGG